TATAAATGTAAAGGCCTGATGAGAATTTATCGGAAACAAACGTATGTTCGCCTATTTATCTTCTGAAACATCATATATAATTGAATCTGATTAGCTGCGAATTATTAAGGACAGGTCAGTCTACATCATAGTCCTTAACACATTCCCGTATTTCATAGGAATAACAGGGTCGAAGGCAGAGCAATATTCTCTCTAGGCTTTTTTCTGTGATTCCGCGCGCCTGCACACGGAGCTGGCTTCTACCCATTAATAACGGGGCATTTGATATAAGTGTATTTGTATTTAGGCGTGGAAAATGCGGACTCAATTGATGTCCTCGGGTTTGGATGGGTAAAGGACATGTTTTCCCTGGGCGTCACCCTATACAGAAAAAACACAGGGTATTGTTAACTGATTTCGTTATATCATCAAACAAATTCGTCGCAAATAGACATTGCTTGGCTGCTACTCCTGTACCCCTGCACAAACGGCGGAATGCATTAGTGGATAACATCTAGTGGACCTTCTTTGCAAAAATATACTACAGTATGTTAAACTTAGTAACGCTAAAATACAGTTAGATTAAAACAGAGGAAAATAAATCCCTGTCCCCAAGAAGGTTAAATTGGTCTATTTGATAAACATATTCTCTGTTTCATTTGAAGGTTTGAGTATTTCCTTTGAGTAAACTAGTCGCTTGATTGCATATTTAGGTAGTACTACCAGTCAGCTGTAGGAAATCCAGTAGTTGATGACTATTTAAGTATTATTTCAAAAAGCCCCTCTTTAACTTGTATTTCCACAAAACTTTACATTGTGGTAAGTTTTTCACCAGAGGTGATTTCTATGATCCATAGCCTCCGTTGTCGTTTTAAGTGGCGTATGGTGAAAGTGTAGTAATAATTGTCTGAAATCGGCAACCGTCGTGATTGGAGACATTGCTAGTTACACCGAGTCCCTAGGTAGCTGCGCTTTGTCGGAAACACACGCGCACATATTTGGTCTCACTCATTCTTGGCTGCACATCAAAGCGATATAACCAGGTTGCTTCCTGTTCTGTTTCCTAAACAACCACCTATTTCTTTGCTGCACCCTTCTCCTTCTTCGGGGGCGGACCCTTCTTAGGATCCACTTCTACTACTGGTATAGAGAAAGCCGGCACAAGGGGTTCTCCCTTCATTTCAAACACCTCCAACGGATCTGGATACTCTCCTTTGAGACACTGTTCAATCATGTGCTGTGTCGCGCTGTCGAAGGGCGCAAACTCTCTCGGCGTACAACCGGACCAGCAGGCCCTGCCGGGATCCGCTCCGACCAAAATTAACAATTGAGCAACTTTGTAATGATTATTCTTGGCGGCCAGATGCAGTGGGCTCACCTTGCTGGCATTCAGGGGATCTGGCGAGGCCCAATTACAAAGTAGCAGCTTAACAGCTTCAAACTGGCCGGCTTCGGCAGCCAAATGTAGCGGTGTATAACCCACGTCATTTGTACAATCCGGGTCGACACGTTCCTGCAGGATCCTGATCATTTTGTTCAATTTCCCCTGCGCAGCTGCCGTACAGAGAGACTCCTCCATGAAATTCGTGCACTTCATGTAGGTCGGCTGTGGACCTTCCTCATCCATCTTTACTGGAATGCCAAAAGGCTGCGAACATGGCCCCTCACGAAGCACTCCTCTAAAATCAATAACTGCACGATCAAACCAGCCCCGGTTCTAATTGGATGACCATTCCACGCAAAACCATACAGGACTGCATGCTCTTCAGGATTAGCGGGAAAAAGGACGAAGGGGCAATAGTCTAGGAAGTTGAGACCGTGGTTATGATAGCTGGTAGAAGAGGAAACTGGGCAAAATTCTCAATAATCCCAGAAACGGAAAAGTGAATGAAAAATGCACATGATTAGTCGCGAAAGTTATCAGAGTTAAGAGGACGTTTCTTCATTGGTTGCCCGTATTTTTCACATAACTTAAAATTCAGGGATTCAAGTGCGTCTTCATGGCATCACCTGCTGCTCACCAGGAGATCAAGAAAGTGTAGTCGTCTCAGGAAAGGGGGAAACATTTTATATCGTCACAGGCCTTTACGTTAGGTTTATCAGGGTTGAAAAAAAGTGCCTAGGATGCGGGATTGTCAGGGTAACGTGTCTATTTACTGTCTGTCGGCTTCATAGATACCAATGGTAATTTTTCAGTCTCATGTGTACGTTTTTTAAATAATCATTTCGATGTAGGCATCCAAGAAGAAATTTCTTAAATCTTTTGATCAAGATTGCTTTCGTGACTAAGAAAACTCTTGGCATTTTATACTGGTCTCCATAAATATACAGTAATTTTACTACTCTCTGACGTCACAAATGAAACAAGCACCCATAACACTGATTCATCGGGCATATTACGACGAACCATCTCTCACAGCCTGATATAACTTATCTGTTTTGCTGTAATCTTCGATCCAGCGGATAGATCATCAGGATTTAGAGGTAGAGTTGCCGTGCTGTGAGAAGGCCTAAGGTGTGATTGCATACGTCCCCTATAGGAACGCGGTAAACTGGAATGGAGATTTCTAGCTTATTCACTAGCACCCGCCTGAGCTCCGAATCCCTGCTCAAAGTGAAAACGGAAGTTCCCTATTCAATCCCGTTCAGAGGTAACAGAAAGAAGGAATTTGCTGTGTATAAGCAAGATACGGCTAGCTTATGCACGCCCTCCCCCCCCGAAACAGGACACAAGAACAGGAACTGCTCCCAATACGAGAGAAATTAGGTTTAAGGTTAGGGTCACGGTCGGGGTTTTGTTTTTAATTAAGATTTGATTTAGTACTTATTGCAAAGCAGGTTAGGGTTAGAGCTATAGTTTATTTTAATGTTAGAAATAGTTCTGGGATTGAGATAGAGAAATGGGTACCCTTCCTGGAAGTATGCGCAAGGCCAGCTTTATAACTTGGGTGGGGCGTCCCTATTTCCGTGCCTTGTTTAAGGGGCTATATAAAAATAGTTGCCAAAAGTAGGAAGTAAACATGCGGACATTGACTTTTGTTGTCCAGTGCAGTGTTTTCGCAAATAATAGGTCTTTGTTTATTTGCTTACATTCTCCCAAGGACCCGATGAAAAAGAGATGGCTGTGTGTAAGTTAATGCACACAACGCTGTTCTAAAGCGCCTCGTATCAGCCCTCTAACCGAATAATACTTGTTTTTATTACCAGAAAGCGTGAAAACCCCTCGCCGCGAGGTAGAAATGTAGGAGGTGTACTTGTACCACTGACAGTTCGAATACAGGTAAAAAACCTTACAGCGGAGGCAACCGTAACTCCCTTTACCAGAATTTTTAACGACTCTACCTTTAGTCAAATTAAAAAAATATCAACAATTTTAGGGGGTTTTAGCAGATTTGAATAATTCCTTTGATCTATTTGTGAAAAAAAACAATGGTCTCGGTGGGATTCAAGCTCACGAGAGCGAGGGTAATACTTCAGAACAGCTATCGCTCTAGCCGCTTGAGCTATGAGGCTCTCAGGGGTCAAGTCACCTGCGCCGCTCGGCTCCTGGTGGATCCTCATAGCTCAAGTGACTAGAGCGTTGGTTGTACTGAAGCCCTCCTCTTGAGTTCCAATCCCAACGAAGCTGTCGATTATTTCACAACTGGGTCAAATTAATTATTCAACTCTGCCAAAACCCCCAACAAATTAACCACGCCCGGTGGATTCTAGATTGATTGAGTGATTAAGAAAGCCTGATTGCGCAGCCAGCTTACTGTATCCAAATTAGTGGATTCCATACGTTGCGGTAGGCTGGGTGGGTAACTTGGTTCAAGTTTGACTACATTCGCGGCTTCTAATGGGGCCTTC